TAGGATCACACTCCTTAATACTCACAGGCAGAATGGTTTTGACAGGCAGTCTGAGCAGAAGCTGCTGTGGGCGCAGGGCTGGAGAAAGATCCTGACCAGGAAGATGGCATGTCCTCCCAAGGTCTGGATCCCATGTGGGCACCGGCTGAGCACCAGCCGGATCTTTTATCAGGTATTTTCACCCTAGACATTTCTGAAAAGATCTGTACCCCACTTCAAGGGCCATGGGCAGTGTCTGTCTCTGGCACTCCCTGCTGTCCACCTACACCACAGAGTTGGCTCCACTATGCTGTGAGAGGTTGGCCAGGCCTCCCCATCCTTTCCAGATGGAGGTGACTCAGCTCTCCCAGCAGGGGGCACAGGATAGCACATGGGTTCTGTTTACTTCAGGATTCATTTCCTTTAACAGTGAGACCGAGAGTATGCCTTATGAAGCCCCTAGAGCAGAAGCATAGCCACAGGGCCCAGAGAGAGAGGTTTCTCTGGCCTCTGAACCCTTTCTTTTCATCCTTGTATATTATTCAACCTAGAATGTGCTCTGCATCCTATCCTAACATTACCAATCCATGAAGCCTCAGTCTGTGCTGTTTCCACCTAGGGACGATGAACTATGAGGGTCCCCGGAGTCCAGTACACCACCACCTTCCCTTCCTCAACCCTACCCAGCAAGCAAAAGCAGACTAGCTCATGGCCTTTTCTTCCAGTTTATTTCATGTTCCCACCACGATAACAATCCCTTTAATTTAAACTAAAAACCATAGATTTCCTGAACGGGTGGCAGCGAAGAAACGGTGGTGTCAAGGGCGGAGGGAAGGTGTGCGGGGCAATCAGCGAATCGTCTTGACTGGGCTCTTGAAGTTGCTGGCGGCTTGGAGCTGCAGCTGGTAAGCCATTGGATGAATCTTGAAACCATAGAGCCTGGGCCGAGCAGAGGTCAGAGAGGAAGCAGGGTGAGTTCCCTTCTGGCCCTGCCAGTGGCCAGCATCCCACCACTACCCCAGCCTCTGCCTCATGTCTACTCAAGAGTTCCCCAACTTCCTTGCTCATGAATACTTGACTTTTCCCCCCATGAATACTTGAAAATGTACCCTTTTTCTTCAAAAAAACGACTTCTCTGTGTAACAGTGCTGACTGTCCTGTAACTCGCTTTGTAGACCAGGTTGGCCGTGAACTCAGAATCCGCCTGCCTCTGTCTCCCAAGTGCAGGGATATGCCACCATGCCCAGCTTAAAAATGTATCTTTTCCTAAAAAGTTTATCTATGCAGATGAGCGCTCCGTCTGCATGTTTTTCTGCTTGCCAGAGGAGGGCACTGATCTCATTACAGATGGCTGTGAGCCACTATGTGGGTGCTGGGAGTTGAACTCAGGTCCTCTGGAAGAGCAGTTACTGAGTCATCTCTCCAGCCCCTTAGACATCACTAAAATTCAGATTCTAGCCCAGGTAATGGTGGTTCAGGTGTGTAGTCTCATTTATGGCAGAGGCAGAAGGATCCCTTGAGGCCAACTCAGCCAACAAAGATCCTGTCAAACACTGCCCATTCCCCATTCCTGATCCAAACATCAAACCAAACAAACATCCTGAGCCACAAAACCTGAAGATTTTGGCAAAGGGCTGATCATCCGACGGCAATAGCCACTGTATAAACAGCCAAGTGCTACACGTTTAGAAATAGGCAGCCATCGTCAGCATCCCTGATCTATGGATAAGAAATCGGAGGAACAAGCAATCAAGTAACTTCCCCAGTCACTCGGCAAGAAAAAGCCCTGACTTTGGGAGAGGCAGGCCTCAAGAAAGGGCCATCCGTCCTCAATCCTCTCCAGACCCTTGCAACTGTGTCTGTTCCCCACCTGGGTACAAACTGGTTGGCGGGTCGTTTGGGCCGGTACTCTGGGTGCACCATGAAGAGCATGTGAGGGAAACCAGTGCCGAAGTAGGCGCCGTCGGTGTGATGGTGCCGCGATGATTTGGGTGTGTACACGTCCATGCACTTGGGGCAGTAGAGCTTCACCATGGCCTCGCCTGGGATGTCCGAAAGGCCTGGGAGAGAGCCAGACCCTGCTGACCAGGTACCCCCAACTCTTCCCAACTTCCCACAGGACTCAGGCACTGACTAGATTAACCCGACTTTTTGGAGGATTGCCAAATAGTGCCCTCCCCTCCTCCTTCCGACACTCACCAATAGGAAGCATCGGCTGGTTCTCACAGTACACACGAGGACAGTAGCCAAAGTCTCCCTGCTGGTACTTTTCCAACTAGGGCACAAAATGGAAGGGACTGGTAAGGGTAGAGCAATTCGTTGCAGCTAGTCTCACTTCTCAGTCGCCCGAGCCTCCCGCTCCTAACTAGAAGCTGTTCCTGTCAAGGCAGGCCTTGACTTCTCAAGTTGGTAGGCTGCAGAACACAAACGCCATTTGCTATTTGTTCCCTGAGAACTCCTTCCTGCCAATGGTTCCATCTCTCCCTGACAACAATACTTCTTCAGCAGGACCCTCAATGGGGATCTGATTCTCAGCCCAGCTCTGGACTTTTTATCTCTTCTGCTAGACTTCTGATTCATGCACCTGTGTCCTGACTGCCTCAGCATCAGTGGGAGCAGAGCCTCACCATTTGGGCGATGCCTCGGTTGGTGAGGATGTAGCGGGCGTGGATCAGCCCATAAAGCATCTCCGCGGCCTGTTCAATCAGGTCACTCTGGTTGGGGTTGTCTTCCAGCTCTTCATCTGAAAGGTGGGATGGACACTTATAACCCCACCTCATGCCCAAGGTATCCACCCACAGTTTATCCAGCACCTGCTTCTGAGCTCCACCCTATCTACCGCCCATGCATCAGCACTGCCTTCTCTCTATACCTCTCTCTGCCTGCTTCCTCCTTTCCCAGTATACACATAAACACATAAGTGCAGAGGGAGGCATTCTAGACAGGCAGGGAAGAAGCCATACACAAAACCCATGAAGAAACCAGCATTATGAAACAGAGTTGAGTCACATTCAAAGAGCATGGAAACAAACATTTCCAGTCCCATAAGGCAAGAGTCAGGTAGGGAACCAAATGAATGAAGAAGCCAAGTGTTGTTGCATGTGCCGTAATTCCAGCAGTTGAAGGCTAGGGCAGGAAGAGCAATTGGTAAAGTCCAGTTGGAATATAAATGGAGGGATAGAAGTGGGGGAGAAAACACATACATAGCAAGCAAGCAAAGGATATAGGGATAGGAGAGCCGGAGAATCAAAAGGAAATTTAGAAAAAAAAAAAAAAAAGCAGTTGGGTGGTGGCGGCACAGGCTTTTAACTCCAGCACTCAGGAGGCAGAGGCAGGTGGATCTCTGTGAGCTTGAGGTCAGAGAAATGCTGTCTTAAAAAAGCCAAAAACGAAAACAAAAAATAAAAAAGAAATTCAAGGAGCAAGTGAGCAGCGGCTGGAAGAAGAAAACAACGCACACACAAGCGCACACATCACCAACCCCACACACTCAACAACAGCCCCAGGGCACGTTACCAGGCTCCAGGTCCAGGATCATGTCTAGAGCTTGCCGATAGTGAGGCACCTGCTCATTGAGCCCAGTGAGATTAAACTTGTCCTGGATGTAGTCTTCATCCACCTACAGGACAGGGAGGGCAAGAGGCTGAAACCAGTGTGGGACTCTCCTCCTTCACCTGGGCCGACGAGGTTAACGATGGATTCAGTTCCCCTGTGCCCTACTCCCGATTCTGCACAAGTACTCAGTGTCCCACAGAAACCGCAGCTCTTTTCTGTACAGTGCATAGACATTCCTCAACCTCTGCACCGCATCTCTAGCAACTGGATTTGCCCTTTCCTTGGGGACATCGGACTCTCTGAGCTAAGGACTCGGGAATCACTAAGGCTAAACAGTCTAGTTTTGTCATACTGTAATTTTCACGTTACAGAACTCTAACAAAAAACATCTGAATCTTCCTAACAGTCACTGAGATAACCTCTGTTAGCCAAGCACAGTGACAAACCCTTGTAATCCCAGCAGGCCGGGAGACTGAGGCAGCAGGATTGCCAAGAGTTCAAGGCCAGTCTAGGCTACCTGGTAAGCTTCGAGTGAAACTTGATCTCAAACAACATAAAATAAAACATTGAGGGCACGTGGAGCTGGCCAAGAAGGCAAGCTAAACTCACCTCACAGAAGAATTCATTGCCGCGGAGCCCACAGAACCAGGAAATCCAGGACACCTCCTCAGAGCTACTCATCTTCACGTCGGCTGGGAAAGAGGAGCGTTAAATGGAGACCAAGCTGTCTCTGGGCTCGTCCCTCCTCCCACGCGCTCTCCCCAAAGACGAAAGAGCCCGAGGCCACCTTGGCTTAAGGGACCCCAGGCTCTGAAGCATCGCTCTCCGCGCGTCTCTTCTTTACCTCTGCTCCCGTTTAGTGTGAGAATGAGTTCCACTACTTTCCAGAAGATGACAGGTCCTGATGCACTAAGTGTGATCCCCGTGCCCGCCGTTCCCCAAGGCCAGGCAGGCCCCTGTCGTCCCCCCCGCCCCGTGTCAGCTGCGGCAGAGCCCTGGGCTCCGGCTCCCCACCACCGCCGCTGCCTGCACGCTCCTGGCGCCTGTCCCAGAGCTCCCGAAGTTCATCCTTCCCCTAGGACCGGCCTCGCCTGCCCTCCTGCGCGATGCGCTAGCGTCCCCACACGCCCGCTCCTCTCCTCAGGCCACCCACCCTCTCCCGGCTCCCGACCCGGTCACTTCCTTCCTCGCCCCCACATCTAGGAGCCTAGGACCCAGCGCCGCGCCCGGGGCTGGACGACGCGGCGCGGAGACAACCTCAGACTCACCGGCCGGACGGGGACTGGGACTGGGGCGGGGAAGGGGGAGTTGCGCTTCGAAGGACCGACAGCGACCGCTACGGCGCAGGAAGCCGACCCGACCGCCGCAGGCTAAGTGGGGAGGGGGGGGGGAATTGGAGGGGGAAGGGTAACGCGCAGGCGTCAGGGGCCGCCCCCTACCTCTGTGGACGTCGGGAGATGGAGTCCCGCCGGAGGCGAGAAACTGACGAAATGAGGGCAAGGTGAACTACCAATCCCAGGAGAACCCGCGCGAGCCTCTGAGGTCACGAGGCACTAGAAGCTGCCTGGGGGCGGGGCGAACGGAGGCGCCACCGGAAGCGGAAGCCAGGGTCCGCGGCTTCCCGACCAGGAAGCCTGGGAGATATAGTCTTCGGCGCTTTAGCCTCGCTCGGCTGCGGGGCCGGCGCCAGCGGTACGTCCTCCCCGCTGCGCTCCCTCGCGGCTCCGCCCGGGGAACCCTGGTTCTCCCGTCAGGGCCGCGACAACGGTTGCCCAGCATCAGGCATGCGTAGAGGTGTGACTCCGTGGGGAGGGACTTAGGTCGGGGCGCTTGGAGAGACGTGCGGCGGGCGCGCTAACCTGTGGTGGCACCAGCCATTCTGCCGCTCGGCCCTTTGCACTTCTCCATGTCCTCGGGCTGGAGTGGACCCTACGTGTGTGATGAGGGGCACCGTGGTGGTGCTATTTCATCGCACAGCTCCTCGGCATGTCACGGGTCTCCCCTTGTGTCCTCAGGGCCTTTCTTAACGCAGAGCGTCGCCTCCCAGCTCCAGAAGAGGAGCTAGGAGCGGGAGGGACCACGTCGAGGGTGGCGAAGAGCATTGTGGGGGCGTTATGGAAAAGTAGGACCCCAACCGACAGGTTCCCCTGGGTCCTCGCGCTACTTGGGCACGCGATGCTTTACGTGGATGCTTGGAAAGGTTCCAGCGCGGGAAACTGAACCCTATGTGTGTTTTGTTGTTGTTGCTGCTGCGCATGCGTCTTCATGCCACGTGACTTTATGTCAACTCTTGCAGATTGCAACAGTTCCATTTTGCGGTACGGAAGTGACAGTGCAACACCTTCCCTGGGAAACCTTCCGGAATAATGTCACGCCTGTTTTTATTTGGGAAAAGGAGACCCCCAAATAAGGTCGAGCTAGAGTTAAAAGGTCAAGCTGGTATTTCCTAACGTGGTATGTGTTACAGGGTGCAAAAAATGTTTTCAGAGAGAGCCTGCCATTTTTGTTTGAAGGGAGATGGGGGTGGAATGCAGGACCACTAGACAACTGTCTGGGGGAATATTTTTTCCTATTATTGCTTTTGTCTTTCTTGTGTTAGAAATAGAACCCAGACCTCCCGAATACAAGGCAAACTGTCTACAGAGAGCCTTATCTACCATGGCCTCATGAAATTTTATTAACACCTGGGCAGTCGTTCTAGGGGTCCGTTTTACACATGAACCCTGGGCTCTCAAGATCCTAGGTCGTGGAGTCAAGGTGGGAGGTCCATTTTAGTTCTAGAGCCCCTGGAGGTGGTGTTGCTCATCACAATGGCGACCTGAAAAGTTGAATGGTTGGCTCAGCCTTTCTCATTTCTCCTCAGAGCCATGTCCAGGCCATCCCTCATCACATTTACTCCAGCCACTGACTCCAGCGACCTCTGGAAGGATGGGCAGCAGCAGCAGCAGCAGCCACAGCTGGAGAAGCCAGAGCCTGTCCTGGATGGGGCTGCAGCTCGGGCCTTCTACGAGGCTCTAATCGCGGATGAGAGTAGTTCCTCTAAGCCCCAGAGAGCTGGCCCTATCAGGGAAAGAAAGAGGAGGAAGAGGAGAATGACGAGGGATGCTGTGGCAGGAGCCTCAGGGCAAGGAGGGCCACTTGAGGATGAAGACAAGATGACCCCGTGGATCCTGCTTGCAGCCCAGAATGGGGATGTGACAGAGCTTCGAAGGCTGCTGGAGCCCCGAGAGGCAGGGGGAGCCGGAGGGAACATCAATGCCCGCGATGCCTTCTGGTGGACTCCCTTGATGTGCGCTGCCAGAGCAGGCCAGGGGGCAGCCGTGCGCTATCTCCTGGGCCGAGGGGCCGCCTGGGTAGGGGTCTGTGAGCTGGGAGGCAGAGACGCTGCTCAGCTGGCTGAAGAAGCAGGCTTCCCTGATGTAGCCCGCATGGTCAGAGAGAGTCCTGGGGAGACAAGGACCCCTGAGAACCAGAACCGGTGAGGAGGGGCTTAGCTTATACCCATCTTCGTTGTGTTCTCCTTTCCTGGACACCCCTCACAGGGTCTCCATCTTCCAGTGTACCTAGTTCATGTCATAGAACAGTAGTGGACAGGGAGGGTCTTTGTGCGTTTCCTTGCAATGTCAGCCTAACGTCTGTGGACCACAGCCCTTGTCTGAGAAGTGGGGGTAGGAACACCTTTCTCAGGGTCATGAGGCTGTAGTAGGTCAGTGCGGAAGCCGTGCTTCTCACACAGCGGGCACTTCAGATAACACCAGCTCTGCTTGCTCTTCCTAAGAGCTCGAGGCCTCCCTTACTGTCTCACGTAGTCCCTCTGGGCAGATGGAGAGGGGCCTGTGGAGACTTGCCTAACGCTGGGCGGGGCAGACCTGGGGTCCCTCTCCAATGCTGCTGAATCTAGAAGCATGGAGCAGGCTGCCCTGCCTGCCAGGTTCTGCACAGTGGCGGCTTCAGGTCGTCTGCTTTTCCTTCCTTCCCTGTAACTCCTTTCTTTCTCTGCAGGCCTCCCCCCTCCTCCCGGTTCTGTGAGGACTGTGGTGCCCACTTTGAAGACTCCAACCACCGTACATCTACTGCCCACCTGCTGTCCCTGTCCAGGAGTCCCCAGCCCTCCAGCCTTCCCCTTGGGGTGTCCACCTCCAGTCCTGGCTTCAGGCTGCTGCTGAGGGGTGGCTGGGAGCCAGGAATGGGGCTAGGACCCCGGGGCGAAGGCCGTGCCAACCCCATTCCCACTGTCCTCAAGCGGGACCAGGAAGGATTGGGCTACAGATCTGCACCCCAGCCCCGAGTCACACACTTCCCAGCGCGGGATACCCGGGCTGTGTCTGGGAAAGAGAGGGTGCCTCGAGTTGCCACACTGAGTCAGACGGAGAACAGAAAGAGAGAAGAGAAGGACAGAGCCTGGGAGCGAGATCTGAGACTGTACATGAACCTTGAGTTCTGACTGGGCGGGCTGGCCTTTAATTTGTTGGACTTGGTCCCCTGGCCTGGGTATTGGACTTCTACTTCCTGGGATCCGCCCAGATGCCAGACCCTCAGGTTCTGGCTCCTGGCCTCTGCTTTTAGAGAGAATGACTGAAAGTTGGGAGATAAATAAACTTCCTTCATTGTGGTTTGTTTACTTTGTTGCATTGGGGCAAATCTGAGTCACATGAAAGTCACCCCAGCCGAAGGACAGGCTCTGCAGGTGATAAGGGAGTCCCTAGCCTGGCTGGCTGCACTTTATCTATTCTTTGAAACCTCCCTGAACTAGGAACTGTCCGCTCTGTGCAAGGCTCCTCCTGGTGGGTCTCTGGGCCACCAATCCGAGTGATGTATGCTGTATCACAAACCAAGTCTGCTATTTGCCACAAACTCTCAAGTTCTGAACTTGAGGCCTGATGATAGGGGAGTCGAGTCCTGCAGAACTGACCAGTGTGCCTAACATCCAACCTGTATGCTGGAGAGCTCTGACCTCTGTAGCTCCCACTGTCTCTAGAATGCTAAGACTAAGGTGTGTACACACACACACACAGAGCCTTGCAATGTGGAGGATATAACCTAGAGCTTCACACCTGCTGCTCAAGTGCTTCTGGAGTTACAGTCCTGATCCTCCACAGATGGCCCCAAGACTCCATTTCACTCCCCGAAAACAGGCAGCACTTTCTCCGACATTTTTCTTTCCTGCTTGGCACCCAGGCTCACTTGGGATGCTCATACCAAGTGCTAGAGACGTGAAAGCTTTCAAATCACTGTCACGAAAGGCAAAGGGCAGTTGCTTAAGTCACGTGGCTCCTGTTATTTACTTTTCTGGGCCAGCAATACGTGAAGTGGTAGGTGAGAAACGGAGGAGTGGCAGGGGATGTGCAGAACCATAGAGCTGCATTAGGGAAGCAGAAGCTAAGAACCAATTCAGAGCCAGCCTGGCCTCTATCTGCCCAGGCCTTTCCTGAGCTACACGTGTAGGGAATCTCTGTCTTTTAAAACAAACAAAAACCAAGGACCGAAGCGCCGAGTCGGAGGTGGGTGGTGAAAAGCAAAACGACTTGTTTTCAGGTTCTGGCTTAGGTGATCCTCTCTCTACGCCTGCGCTAGTGAATGGCGGGGGCTACGGGGGAGGTCGTTCTGCAGGGTCCGCCTCACGAGTGCCCGGGCTCCGCCCCCGCCGGTCCCTCCCGGCCCGGTACAGCTGCTTCCGGGCTCGCACGGCTCCGGGAGGCCGCTCCCCGGACGCCGGGCCCCAGAGCTACCCGCAGCGTGCGGCGCCCAGACGCCTGGGTCCCCGGGGAGGCCTGCACTGTGCCTCGCGACTGCCGTCTCCAAGGACGTCTCCGTTCTGACCTTGCGGAGGCCGCGTCTCAGCTGCGCCCTCGCGGGACGGTGGGGCCACTTTGTGGACCGAGAGCCTCCTAAGTTAAGGAATGTGTGTAACCGCCCGGAGTTCGCTGGACACTTCCATCCCGGCTTCCTCCCACCTGGGACTTCCTGCTCCTTGAGCCCCCTCGGGCAGCGCGGTTTAAGGCTCCTCAAATTCAGGACCGAAGGACTCTGGACCACGTACCTTCCTTCTTCGATGGAGCACCATCTCCCTCTTTTGGGGCACCTTGGGGTGTGGCCTTGGTGAGTGAAACTTGGGGTGCTGACCTCTGGGAAGGAAATCTGAAAACAGAACATTGTGGGGGTGATCCTGGCCTTATAAGGCCCTGGAAGTCTGTGAGTGTGCGGGGTGGCAGATGGATTTCTTTTCCCCTAAACTGACAAGGAGGCAGGCCATTTACCACACTTGAGGCTGCGTGAGCTCTTTCTGAATTCAGAGTTAGGACGACATCAGACATCACCAAGCAGATACCTATTCTGAACCGGAACAGATTCCGGCCTCTGAGAAGATCCCGAGAATCTTAAGCAGAGTCAGGAAGCGGTCGCAGATTTGGGGGGGCTCAGTACACAGTTCAGTCATGTTCCTGCGAAGGCTTGGTGGCTGGCTGCCTCGACCTTGGGGACACAGGAAATCAACAAAGGCTGGCTTGCCTGCCCCAGAACCCAGATGGGTGGACAGTTCCCCCGAGAATTCTGGGAGTGACTGGGACAGTGCCCCAGAGACAATGGGAGATGTGGGACCTCTCAAGAAGACCAAGGACTCAGGGAAACCGAGGATCCCTGGGGCTGCTCCAGAGTCGAGCAGAGAGGTCCAAGTGGATCAACTTGGGAGCAAAAGAAAGGATTCCTTCAAGCGGGACAAGACTGCCTCTGGCGTTCAAGAGCCTGCGAGACTGGAGGCTGGAGGAGCCATTCCTGGAGGAGCCGTTCCTAAACTGGAAGTGGGTTCTGTGGATTCTGGCGGCGTGAAGAACCTTGGAGTGCCACCCCCAGGAGGACTAGGCACCACCGGACCAGAAGCCCTATTGGAGAAACCTGGTCGCAGGCAGAAGCTCCTGCGTTGGCTCCGGGGGGAACCGGGGGCTCCCTCACATTACCTGCGGGACCCAGAGGAGTATCTGCAGATCTCCACCAACCTGACCCTACACCTGCTCGAGCTGCTAGCCTCAGCCCTGCTGGCTCTGTGCTCCAGGCCGCTTCGAGCTATCTTGGACGCTGTGGGCCTTCGAGGACCTGTGGGGCTCTGGCTACACGGGCTGCTGTGTTTCCTGGCCGCCCTCCATGGGCTCCACGCTGTGCTGAGCCTACTTACTGCCCACCCCCTGCATTTTGCCTGCCTCTTTGGCCTCTTGCAGGCCCTGGTGCTGGCTGTCAGCCTCCGGGAACCTACTGAGGATGAGGAGACCACTGATTTGGAGACTGAGGAGCAGGGGAGGGAGGCCAAGGAGTCAAGGGAAGGTCCAGGGAGGGTGCTATGACTGGGTGAGGGTGGGGGCAAAGGGTGAAGATAGTGGTGTGGCCTTTGGGAGGAAGGTGGGGAAACCCAGATCATAAGCACAGTGACCTCAGGGATGGGGAGGAGACTCAGGAGCATGAAGGCACAGGAGCCTCTGTCATACAGGTGACAGATTGGGGCTGTTTAGGTGTCTGAGAATGGACAATGGGACGCCACCATTTGAGTCACCAGCTGTTGTTATTGCTTCCTTTTACATTATCCACCTTTTTTTTTTTAAAAATTACCACCTCGAATCCTCCCACACCTCCACTTTTAAAGAGCAAAACAAACGAAATAAAAGTGATGATGGAGAAAGAAGGCCGAAGGGTCCTTTCCAGGTCCCGGGGTGGGCAAGGCCAGAGGCGGACAGAGAGCTCTGCATTAAGAGGTAGTGAGGAGATCCATGCTTTCCCTTGGATCCTAGGATCAGAGCCACCTAGGAGAGTGGAGTTGTGAGGCAGGGATTGTAGAAGGGGCCCCAGGTGTTGTACCTGCAGGGAGGGTCTGGTACTCAGTGAGATCCCGAAGAGACAGGGATGGTGCAAGCCACATGGGCGCGAGGACCAGTTCAGAAGGGCTGTGCCGGGCAGCGGGGAAAGCACAGCGCCTCTCGTGTCCACTTGTGTTAGGAATTTGCTCACTCAGCAATAAATGTGCTACCCTAAATCCTAAATCTACCAGTGTGGTCGGAGAGGTGCTGCTCTGTGTCCTTCGTGGTGCCAAACAGCTGTGGGTGGCAGAGGTTTCCTTCTGGGGCAGGGGGCATGCCAAAATGGAGAAGTGACTGATGTCTGCAGACAAAACTCCGGAGATGAGGATTGAGAACCATCTTTATTATCCTTGAGAGGGTGTGGAGAGTCTCTGAAGCCTCCCTCGCAGCTCAGCTCCCACCCTCTGTCTAGCACACAGATGGAAGTAACAAGTCACTTGCTGGACAGCTGGCAGGTCTCTGACGGGAGGGAGGAAGGAGAGGAAGCCCAGTGAGTGGAATGGGTTAGGGATAAGGCTCCCTTCTCTCTCACTACCCTTTGCTCCCGTTAGCATCTAAAGCAGTGGGTCTCAGCCTGTGGGTTGTGACCCCCTTGTGGGGGTTGGGTGTCAGACCTCCTGCACATCAGATATTTACTATTTACGTTATGATTCACAACAGTAGCAAAGTCAGCTATGAAGCAGCAACAAAAGGAATTGTATAGCTCGGGGTCACCGCAGTGAGAAACTGTATTAAAGGGTCACAAAAGTAACTGAATAGCTCGGGGTCACCGCAGTGAGGAACTATATTAAAGGGTCACAAAAGTAACTGTATAGCTCGGGGTCACCGCAACGTGAGGAACTGTATTAAAGGGTCGCAGTGTCAGGCAGGTTGAGAATCTGCTCAAAAGACTCAGAAACCTTTTTATTTTTATTTTTGAGAGACAGTCTCACTACATAGCCCTAGCTGTCCTGAAACTCACTGTGGGGACCAGGCTGGCTTCAAACTTGTGGCGATTCTTCTGCCTCTGTCACCTGACCAAAGCCTCTTTTTTTATTTTTTTAAGATTTATTTATTTATTTTGAGTGCTCTATCTGCATGTACACCTTGATGCCAGAAGAGGGCATCGGATCCCACTGTAGATGGCTGTGAGCCACCATGTGGTTGTGGGAATTGAACTCAGGACCTCTGGAAGAGAAGCCAATGCTCTTTCGAGTCACCCAGAGCCCTGCTTGGTGACTCCACAGCTCTTAGCCAAGACCTCCTGGTGCTATTCTAGCCTGTGAAAATTAGAGGCCTCAATGTACCCACCCTGATAACGTCTGCCTTGAGCCATGGCCTCTGCTGACAATACCCACAGAAGACTTGGTGATTCCCAGGCCTCTTCTGGGAGACCTCGACCCCTCACCTTGATTCCTGGGAATCACTAAGAAGACTTTGAAGTCCAAGCAGGAGGTCAGAGACTGGAATTCCTCCACACACTTCTCCGGAGGGTGTGGTGATCGGTCTGGAAGGACAGGGAGCAGCCAGGCCAGTCAACATTCCTGCTTCTAAGCCCTACCCCCCAACTCCCTAAGGGACCTGGTGAAGATCAGCCCAGTCTGTTCTGAAAGGGGGATCCTTTGGCCTTCCAGTTTCCCTCGGCCACTTCCTGCCTTGTATACCCACTCACTGTAGAGGAGAAAGCGTTGGTATCCCTCGCCCGTCTCTTTCAGCATGATTCCCCCTGGGCATGTGCTGGAGAAGAGGTCTGTTTTCATATCAGGGCGGCCTGTCAGGATTGGGAGAGGATCATGAGGGCAGATGCAAAACCAAGCTGAGTTAGGCCTAGTAGTGCAGGGCTGTGATCCCAGCTGCTCAGGAAGCTGAGGCAGGAGGATTCACGTTCAAGGCCTGCCTGAGCTACAGGGTTAGTTCACCAACCATCAGGGCAATGAAAGGTTAGAAAGGGGTCTGGGGATAGCTCAGTGATGGCGTGCTTCCCTAGCATGCAAGAGGTCCTGGGGCTAATCCTCACTTTGGAGCGGGACGCGGCCCAGGGAGAGTAGACAGAGGGAGGGCGGGTGGAAACCAACCTTCAGTTCTGAGGTCTGTGTTTCCTTTCCCTTCAGTCAGATGGTATATCCATTTCCGGGGCACGCAGATCCCGTTTTTCCTGCGGAGGTGGCAGTAGTAAGGTAGAAAGACAGGAGTGTCTTCCAGCCACACTACCAACCTTTGGTTGTTTCCTATCATGCCCTTTCCCACAGCCCAGCTCTTTGGGGTTCAAGCTGCCAAGGGAGAGCTAGGCCCATTCTATCAGCAGTGGGCAAGGACTCCGGGTGGGGTGACTGGGCAGAGAACACACCCAGTGGGTGCCTCTGCTCCCTCAACACTCACGTGCGGATGGCAGCACGAAGCTGGAGCTGTCTTGGGACAGAGCCGGTCGCCATGTTGAAGACAATATTGTCCACCGAGTCAAAAGTCGCTAACTCTTCCTTGGTGGGGGCTGCTCCTGCGATGAAGTACCACGTGCCCAGGTGGGGATCTGGGGACTGGAGAAGCAGTGAAGGGAGCAAGAGGATGAATTAGTGGGTCCGGCGGGAAACACATCCAGCCTTTCCACCAGTCAGCGGACCAAGAACCAAGAGTCAGGGCTGAGGTTCTGGTGACCCTCATCTTCTCCCCTCCTTTCCCAGCATGCTTTCTAGTCATCTTGAGTTACCCACCCACGGCTTCCAGCTTCTTCGGGTTTCCCTTTCCTCGGTCCATACCTCTTTCTCGCCCACTTCCAGCGTTGTGAGTTGACTGTGCTCAGGGCATTGGCTCATGAAGTTAAAGACAAGGCCGTAGAGGTAGAGCACAGCCGCCCAGACTTGGTGGAACATCTCGGGCAGGAGAGAGCTGCTGTCTGTGGGCGAGGGGACCTCTGCCTTAACTGTTCTCTGCTGGCCGCTCAGTCCGCTCCGCTTTCAGCCCCCTTGCCTCGACCCTTGACCCTTTTACCTGCTAATAAGTAACTCTAGCCTTGTTTTCCAACCCAAGCCTAGCCGAGCTACAGCATTGGGGCCTTCCTCCCCCGCTTCCGGATGCAACCACCCTACAGTATATCCTGGCATGTCCAGTGACTCCCAGGTGTCAGGAGGAGTCAGGAGGAGAGCCGAGCCTACAGTCTTCCGGCCTGTATCTGACTTGGAGTGCTGCTGTCTGTGAAGCTCCGAGGAGAAGTGGCTGGGTTAGGTCTTTCATTCATTCACTTGGCAGATTTGGGAATTTCCGTTGTTTGCCAGGAACTGGCTAATCCTAGGGGACATTTTTTTAAGAGACGGAAAAACAGCTTTACAAACAAACCATTGCAAGACAAGCTGATAAGTGTTAGGACGGGCGCCAGTCAGTCGCTGGTCGCTGGGCTTCTTTTTCCTTTTTTTCTTTTTCTTTTCTTTTTCAAGACAGGGTCTCGCTTTGTGGCTCTGGCTGTCCTGGAACTCACTCTGTAGACCAGGCTGGACTCACTGAGATTCCTCTGCCTCTGCCTTCCAAGTGTTGGGACTACAGGCATGAACCACCAGCGCTGGGCTAGGGACAGTTTTTTCCCCTTCTTGGTGCTGGGGATCAAACCTAGAGCTTCATGCATACCAGGCATGCTCAGGAGTAGCAATGATCCACACCCCCAGCGCCTGGGACAGTTGTAGTAATCTCTCTCGCTATTTTTTCCATCTGTGGAATGGGCAATTCATTAGTCTCAGAGTTACATGAGATCAGAAGTAGATATCCACTATCGTAGTGACTGCAAAGTACCTACTGTTATTGCTGGTTGTAGGTTTTAAATGGTAGGTTGCTAGATTGTCAGGAATTAAATGTAATGCAAAAGACAGTCACCGGATAGTCTTAGTGTATAGAGCTGTCAATGCAATGAGGTGGGATTTATTTACATAAATATTGTCTTCTCCTGAAGAGCCTTAAGGCTCATGCTCAAATATACATAAAAATGGCAAGGCAGTGGTGGCACAGGCTTTTAGTCCCAGGTAGGCAGAGGCAGGTGGACCTCTGTGAGTTCGAGGACAGCCTGGTCTACAGAGCGAGTTCCAGGACAGCCAGGGCTACACAGAGAAACTCTGTCTTGAAAAAACAAAAACGTATATATAAAGGTAAAAAGGGAAACTCCATGTTAGGATGAGGTGTTTAATTTTAATTAGGCAGGTTCATTAGCTGAGCCAAAAGGGGGCCTTTGATTGCTGAACTTCAGGACTTTGAGAGCTGGACCTTGGTAGTCAGCCTGAGGAGGAAGTGGCCAAATAAGGGAATAGACATTGCCAACTAGCTCTAGGAATGCAACCTAATGGCTTTCAGCAAGGCCGAGGGAATGGGGGAGAAGGGCAAGGCCTGCCAGAGCCACCTAGGCTCATGCCCCACACTCAAGCTTGTCAGAGTCCCTTCACCTGCCAATCAGGCCACCCCTGGTTACGTACATAATACTAGCTTGTTCAGAACAACTGCAAAAACGTGGATGATGATAGGCTTGATTATTCTGCTGGAGTAATGATCAGGTTTGTGTATGGGACCAAAGGCTTTGGGCTTGCCAAGTAGGTGCCCTACCACGCAGGCCCTTGAAGTTTTTATAATAAAAATCTAAACTCTGGGTCTAGGAAATGGCACAGCAGGTGAGGGTGCTTGGGAGCAAGCCAAGCCTAAGGACCTGACTTGGATCGCCAGATCATCAAACAGTGGAAAGCGGATACCAGCACGTTTCTCTACATTTATGCTATGCTGTGGCAGATGCAAGGTCACATCATCATTCAGGAGGCAGAGGCAGGTGGAGCTCTCTGAGATCCACGACAGCCAGGTTTACAGTGAGATCCAGTCTCAGGGGAAAAATTTACTTAACCGTAGTCTGGCAGGATGCCACACGACTTTAATTCCAGCACTGGGCGGTGGAGGTGTAGAACATTATGAGTTCCAGGCAATTAAGGAAACACACTGAGTTTTATCATACAGGTTGGCACCGAAGAACTGCTCACTAAATGCTTACTGAACCTCTCTCATCAGCACCGGCACCTAGGAGGAGTAAAGTGGGGGTGGCGGCAGAGAAATTGTAACCGTCCCGCCCTGTGCAACCCCCTTCTCTTGCCCGTTAATCCGATCTCAAAGAGGTTTTGTTTTGTTTTGAAACAGGGTTTCTCTGTAGCCCTGGCTGCCCCGGAACTCGCTCTGTAGACCAGGCTGGTCTCGAACTCACAGAGATCCGAGTGCTGCGATTAAAGGCGAGCGCCACCAAGCCCGGCTCCATTTCTTTCTTTATTTTTACAAACGTTTAAAAAGCAGTAAAGTGCTTAGTTATCCTATAGCATGGAGCTCCCTTGGGAGCTCTCAAGCAAAAACGAGTTGACGCCCCAATGTCTACAAAATCCCAATCCCGCCAGGACCAGACACCCGGGCACAAGCCAACCCAGCCCACGGAACGCCCCAACCGTCCAGGGAAAAAAAAGTGACTTCCGGCAGCGCAGGGATGACAAGAGGACCGGGGCAGTGCCGAGGCTTAGGCGGCTAGGAGCGTGCCTATAAACGCTCTCCGTCCGTCCACACACGGACGCAGATGAACGAGGCGCAGTCCCCGCAAGTGCCCTACAGGCGCCCGCGGCGTCTCTCGATATAGGGGCAGCCATCTTCCCCCTCCTCCCCTCATAATTTTTCTTCAGGCGTTAGAGTAGCCACCTGGGTCGTGCAGCGCCCCGGCGCGCGCAGGGAAGAAACGCACACCGCCCGAGGGGGGCGGGGAAGTCCTTAAGCTGTGCGCACGCGCAGCGCGGCTCACGCAGGCGCAGTGCGGTCCCCGGGCGACGGTGACGGCGGCGGCTCCTCGGGGTGTCCGGCTCCCTCCCATCTAGGCCGACCCCGGCCCGTCTCGCCCCCTAGAAACTCACTGTTTGGGGCTGTGGACTTTCTCATCGTGCCCCACAAAAGTAAATTGGGGGGGAGCCTGGGGAAGCCGGAAGTACCGCCTCGAGATCTCCCCCCCCATACGATCGGGGAAACGGAAGTGGCCTTTGGTGCCTGGTTGGGGGAGACCGGAAGTGACGGTACCGTGGGGAAGTCGGGGGGCGGAGCCACGGGGTGGTGGGCTGTGTATGTGTGTGTTTGTGTTTGGCCGCGTGTGGGTTAAGTCTTGTCGCTGGAACACCGACGGAAGGCGGAGGCGGAAGGAGGGGGCGGTCAGCGAGCCGGTCCGGGCTCCCGTGAGTGTCCGTGGTGATTTAGGCGGGTTCGGTCGTGGTGGCGCGCGTGCGCGAAGCCACCCTCTCCGCCGACTCCAGCGCGACGCGACGCGACCCCACCCTGCGGCCCCCACCGACCCCCCCCCCCGCCCCGTTCTTCCTTAGAGAGCTGTCGGCCATGGAGCCGAGTGATAATACCAGTACCGCTATGGAGGAGCCCGACAGCCTGGAGGTACTGGTGAAGACCCTGGACTCTCAGACTCGGACTTTTATTGTGGGGGCTCAGGTGAGACAGCGGATCTTTGTAGAGCTGATACCCCGTTTGTGTTCTAGGGATAAGCCCAATTTTCTTGTCATTGACTCCTTTGTCCCTTGCTGGATAGAGTATCTGATGTTCTTGTTGTGTAAGGAGGTGTGGTTACTGTTGAGTGGGGCAGATTTTGTTCCGACTGTCTTCACCTTGATGGGACTCAGTGAAGCAGGGAAATAGGAGGAATCTCTACCTGTGCTGGGTGGACCTCGGCCCAAAGGGACAGACATGACTCCGGCCTTTGAGACCGGAAGCAGCCTAGGGACCTCAGACAAGTGTGGTATGTCTGTTCTTTTTTTGAACAACTTGTTCACAGGTTTATACTACATAGAGTCCAGAAACCTGCCTTCATCCACTGTTAGGTAGAATTGCCGGTATCTAGGGCATAGTTTGAATCCCTTGAGCTTGTAAGGTGCGGTGTGGACGCAATTATCTTTGTTTTTACTGCATGATCCTTTGAGGAAAAAAAATCATGAGCTGGTCATTTTCGTGTTTTTCTAAAACACTTGAAACATCACATAGCTTTTGTGAGTAGGTGTACATGGGAGTTAGTTCTGCCCCGTACGGAGAGTCACTTGTCTAATTCTAATTAGTAAGATTCTTTTCTGGGGGGTGGGGACAATATCTCAGGCTGGTCTTGACTTCTTGACCATTTTGCCTCCACTGTCTGTGCCACCTTTTAGGTGTGTGTATCATACCTGACTTTTTTTTTTTTTGGATAGGGTTTCTTTGTGTATCCTTGGCTGTCCTAGAACTCCTTCTGTAGACCAGGCTGGCTTTGAACTCAGAGGTCCACTTGTGCTGAGTGGTGGTGGTACACACCATTAACCCCAGCCCTTGAGAGGCAGAGACAGGCAGATCTCTGAGTTCGAGGCCAGCCTGGTCTACAGAGCAAGTCGGGACAGGCTTCAAAAGCTACAGAGAAACCTTGCCTGGTGGTGGTGGTGGGAATCTGCTTGCCTCTGCCTCCTGAGTGCTGGGATTAAAAGCAAGCAACACTCACTGCTTGGCAAGATTTTTGAGACAGGGTCTCAGTGTACCCACTGTTTATCCGTGTTGCCTTGGTTCTCACTGTGTAAATCAGGGTGATCTCAGACTCACAGAAATTTGCCTGCATCTGCCTCCCAAGTGCTGGGATTAAAGACATGTGCTGTTATGCATGAGTTTTTATTTTTATTTTATGTGTGTTTTGTCTGCAAGTATAATGTGTATACACCATGTCTGTGATTGGTGCCCAAGAAGGTCAGAGGCATCAGGCCCTGTGACCTTTTCCTCTCCTTGTGGGAGTTAGGAAGTCACAGCACCTACTGTTATGTATGGATGGTTTTAAACCTTCATGTTCTAGGAATTAAACTCTGGTCCTTTGCAAGAGCAACAAGTTGTTCTTAGTCTCTGAGCCATCTCTAGCCACTCGTTCTGTGTTTTAAGTCAGCGTCTCACTTTGTAGCCATGGCTGGCTTGGTAGTCACAGAGATCCACCTGCTTTTGCCCCCATGGGATTAGAAGCTTGTGCCACAATACCCACCTGTTTTTAGCTTTAGATTAGTTGTGAGCTCCTGGTATGGTTTTACATTTAGAAAAGGAGCACACCAGTATCTTTATATATTAAGTCAAAAAGAAAGGGAGAGCTGTTTGGCTTTTTTGTTGTAAGATTTATTTTTATTTTATTTATTTATTGTTATCATTGTGGGGTACTGTTTGGATTTTTTCTTTATTTTTGAGACAGTCTCTCTGCAACTCACTATGTAGGCCAGGATGGCCTCAAACTCCCAAGAGATCCACCTGCCTCTGCCTCCCAAGTGCTGGAGGCATACACCACCACTCTCTGCTTATTTTTAATTATATATTGGTTTGTGGGGGCAGGGTATGTGCGTGCCTGTGGGTACAAGGGTTCTATATAGAGGCCAAAGACACTGGGTCTCCTAGAGCTGAGTTCACTAGTAGTTGTGAACTGCTGCCCAGTATGGGTGCTGGAGATTGAACTGAGGTCCTGTGCAAGAACAGACTTGGTGATAGCTCTTATTGGGGTTTTCCCTCCTCCTGTTCATACCTAGCTTTGTTTATTGTCTGTCTGGGGTTTTTGTTTGTCTTGTTTTTGTTTTGGCTTGATAAATACCTGCCCATTGGTACAGTTGGCTAGAGACACTGTTTATCTTGTACTCACTCAGCACCTGAAGTCAGGTGTCCCTCTTTCTTCTTCCTTCGGTTTTCTGATTCTGACGCATGACTGTCCTTTCAGATGAATGTAAAGGAATTTAAGGAGCATATTGCTGCCTCTGTCAGCATCCCTTCTGAGAAACAACGGCTCATCTACCAGGGCCGGGTTCTGCAAGATGATAAGAAACTCCAAGAATACAGTAAGGGCCTGGGGGAGCTGCCTGAGGCTGAGGTTGCTGTCTGAGGCTATGGGTTTTTACTGACAAGCTTTGGTGTGCATCTCTTTTTCTTCCTGCAGATGTTGGGGGGAAGGTTATCCACCTGGTGGAACGGGCTCCTCCTCAGACTCAGCTCCCATCTGGAGCATCTTCTGGGACAGGGTCTGCCTCAGCTACTCATGGTGGGGCACCCCTGCCTGGCACTCGGGGGCCTGGAGCCTCTGTTCATGACCGGAATGCCAACAGCTATGTCATGGTTGGAACCTTCAATCTTCCTGTGAGCCTGTGTTTCTCGTGCGGGAGGGTTTTGTGGGGAGAGTGGCTCTCATTATGGCAGCTGTAGGGAGCTTAGAAGACAGGCATTTTGAGTCTTGCCTTGAGTTTGGAACACCCTCTGACCTATAGTGGCCTCAGTTTTTGAGGAAAAGAGGGTAGGGGCTCCAGAAAAGGAATTGGCAGTATGGAGGCCTTAGTATGTGGCTTCTCCCAGAGCAACTTCCCTTACCCTTTCCCCAGAGTGACGGCTCTGCTGTGGATGTTCACATCAACATGGAACAGGCCCCAATTCAGGTATTGAGGGGCCTGGGAGGGTCAGGGAAGGGGATCTGGGAGAAGGAGGCCATGAGGTGGGGGGAACCTGGCTGAGGAGATGGTGTAGTATGTTGTGGAGCTCACGGCTTAGTCTCGGCCCTGCCCTGATCATCCTCCTTATGTTATAGAGTGAGCCCCGGGTACGGCTGGTGATGGCTCAACACATGATCAGGGATATCCAGACCCTACTGTCCCGGATGGAGGTGAGTGGGCAAGTCTGCCAGGCTAGATAGTTTCTTTCTTTTCTGTCCTCTCTTCTCATGGTCTCGCAGTAAGAACATTGCTGGCTGTAATCACATCGGCTACAGGAATCTGCCTTCCTACTCTGGGTCTATCTTTCTTTTGTGTGTCTGTCTGTCTGTCTGTCTGTCTGTCTCTCTCTCTCTCTCTCTCTTGTTTTGTATTTTTGAGACGGGGTTTCTCTGTGGCTTTGGAGCCTGTTCTGGAACTAGCTCTTGTAGACCAGGCTGGATTCGAACTCACAGAGATCCACTTGCCTCTGCCTCCCGAGTCTTCCTGAGTGCTAGGCTTAAAGGCCACCACTGCTTCCTTCCTTTCTTCCTTCTGGTTTTCTTTTCTTTCTTTTTTTTAAATTTACTTATTATGTATACAGTATTCTCAGTATTTTGTCTGCATGTATGCCTGCAGGCCAGAAGAGGGCACCAGATCTCTACAGATGTTTCTGAGCCACCATGTGGTTGCTGGGAATTGAACTCAGGACCTTTGGAAGAGCAGGCAGTGCTCTTAATCACCGAGCCATCTCTCCAGCCCCTCTTTTGGTTTTCTTAAGACAGAGTTTCTCTGTGTCACTTTGGAGCCTGTCCTGGCACTTGCTCTGTAGACCAGGCTGGCCTTGAACTCAGAGATTCTGCTTCTGCCTCCTGAGTGCTGGGATTAAAGGCGTGAGACTCCACTGCTCGACAGGTTTTCTATATAGTTCTTTTAGGCAAAGAAGGTCTGTTTGTGAGGCTGCCTGCCTCAGTTTCTCGGGTGAGGTTTATGGGCATGCTCCAGTGTTGTGTGCTGCTACCAGTCCTGATGCCGGTTTCTGAGAGTTCATTTCAGACTTGCCAGATAATGCCATAGAGTCCCTGCATTTAGAGAAGTAGCCTTTTTCTTTTTCCTTAAGCTATCTCTGTCCTGGGCTGTCCTTGAACTCAGTGTCTCCTAGCTCATCCTCTTTAAGTGCAGTGATTATAGGTGTGAGGCACCATGCAAGGCTGCATGCCATATTTTTAAATTTCTTTTTTCTTTCGGTTTTGTTTTGCTTTTGAGACAGGGTTTCTGTGTGTAGCCCTGGCT